TTCCCAGCACCCAGAAGGCAGCAGCTGGCAACCATCTGTGACTCCAGTTCTGACGCCCCCTTCTGACCTCAGTGGGTACTGCATTCAGGTGCACAATTACAGCTGACCTCCACATGCTCACATAATTACAAATTTAATTAATCAGTATCAGGAATGTGTAAGTTGTGGGACCACAGAAGGCTGTGGTTCTGGTCACACCTCCTCAGACTTGGTTTTCCCATCAGTAGAATGGGCCACTGTGTCCTCTGAGGATTCCCAGAATGGATCTGGCTGCCCCTCTGTAGCTCAATGAGGGCACAGCCTGCCTTCCATGACCACAACAAAAGCAAGGGCCGTCACCCTTCCTGTGGTTCCTCAGAAACTGGGTCACTGATATGGATCTGACTGTCACCTTTCTGAGCAGTAGATATTACTCAGAGTGTAGATGACAGACATACTATGACACTAACGGAACCCTCTGATAAGGAGGGGACAGAGGGGGAAACTGAGGCAGGCTCAGTCACATGACTCAAAGACCCACAATCACCTTTCCAGAACAAGCACTGTCACTCAAAGTGGGAACCAAGCCCAGCAGAGCACTGGGGACACAGGAGCAGGAGAGCTCTGTGAGCTTGAGGCTAACCTGAGAATACAGAGAAGGACCTGTCTCAAAACACATACACACACACACACAGAAAGACACAAACACACATGCACACACAGACACACACACACATGCACACACAGACACAGACACACACACACAGAACGACACACACAACTGGAGACACACAGAGAGAAAGTGATACACTTCTCCTATCACTTCCTCAATTTGTATCCCAGGTCACTGAGCGCCTTCAGCTCATTTGTGAATTTCTATGCCAGACCAAAGAGTGCTCAGTCATTCCTCAAAGAAAGACCACAAGTTAGCTTGGCTTCCCATGTACTGCCAAGCTGGACACCATTCCTCAGTAATGACAAATCATCCACCCATCCACCCACTCATCCACCTACCCATCCATCCATCCATCCATCCATCCATCCATCCATCCACCCATCCACCCACCCATCCATCCACCCACCCACCCACCCACCCATCCATTCATCTGTCCATCCATCCATCCATCCATCCATTCATCCATCCATTCATCCATCCATCCGCCCATCCATCAGCCCATTCATCCATCCATCTTCATCTGTCCATCATCCATCCATCCATCCATCCATCCACGCATTCATCTGTCCATCCATTCCTCAAGGACCAGCTCCTTTGTTCCTCCTACAAGGACTGCACCCTACCCATGCACGCACACTCACATGCCCCGCCACCTGCCAGGCCTCTACTGGGAGCTCACCGAAGCTTGGTTTTCTGTACGGAGAAGCAATACTCATTGATGCCTGTGGTGGGCATGCGACTGCGCAGCACGTCCTGCGCTGTGGGGATGTAGCTGTCCTCAGCGATGCGCTCCAGGTGTGACAGGTAGCTGTGGAGGAGGACCCGTGAGGCTGGGCGGATGCAAGGACCTTGCTTGGGGCAGGAGACCCCTGAGAGCCCCAGGCCAGTGTTACCTCCATCAACACCTTGGATGTCGCATGGTGCTTAAGGCCCTGGAAGGACACTGACCTGACTTGGGTTCACACATCTGGGGCGGCCACCCCTGGGAGCGAGAGGAGCCAGGCAGCTGCCACTCAGCCTCTCTCTAGTCCCTCTCCCCCGTGGCCCCACCCACCCTGGCCCTTCCCAAGCTGGCTACTTTTTATAAGACTCTGACCCAACCCTGGCCACGCCCCTTGCATACCTCTTCCCTCCTTGGGTCCCTCCCCTCTGGGGCTTCTCCATTCCACGACCATGCCCCATGCCATACCCCCGTGGCTACAACCTACATGGCCCCTCTCAGTGCTGGGACCCCGGGACCCCTCCTGCCACAAACCCCAGACTCACTACACAGCAGAGTCCAGCAGGTGGAATTCACGCCTGCGCTCGTAGCATGCGCGGATGCCAGCATCGCACCACAGGTACTGCATGGCCACTGCATATGGCTTTCCAAACGCGGCCACTTTATAGGGATCCTGGCTCATCACCAGGTTGGCGTGCTGCTGTGGAGGCACAGGTGAGAGGTTCGGCAGCCTGTGGCAGCTGCAGGCACCAAGCCCACCCCTAAAACACAATCCCTCTCTCCCGTTTTTTCCATCCTCTGCCATTCTGACCCAGCCTAATGCCCGCACAAGGAGAGAAGATAAAAATGAACTCCTTTCCATCTTTCAATGTCCCTATACCAATGCCCCTCCTCCAGTAAGACCTCTCCAGAGCTCCTCCAAGGACTAGTCTGACCCCGATGGGCTGGCGGAGTCCGAGAGTGATGAGGGGAGAGGGTACCTGAGAACTGAGAGACTGCAATTGTCCCATTTTATGGAGGCACAGAGCAGCATAAGGGGCAGGCAGGCATCACCAGCCCGGCCCTGCCGCCACTCCCTGCTCAGGCCACAGCCCTCTCTTTTCACTCCCCAGACACTGGCCTTGCTCCACCCCCCACCCCCCACAATGCACTCTGCAAACTCCTGCCTGTGTTCACACTCATGTGTTCACAGACATGGATGTGTGTCACCCACACTGAGCATGTGGGCACACTGTTAGGTTTGTTACATGTGAATGAGGCTTGAGGCCTTTTCTCTCCAGACTTTGGGGGCCCAGGTGGCCAGATGACTTTGAAGAAAAGTCCAAGTGCTCGCCTGCAGGGCCTGAGTCCCCATCTCCTGAGGTGTGGGGTGCGGATAGATCACCCTAGCTAGGCTTGTTGACTATTTCCATACGCCATGGAGGGAAGGGGGGTTACAAGACCCTCACCCGAGTCCCCAGCTGCTCCCTGACACCTGGTGTACATAGGAGGGACTGGAGTCTAAGGCCTGGGGAAGACTAGAGGAGGGGCCCCATCCCTGATGGGTAAGGCTTTCTGGGGCCTGTTGAGGGGAGGGGTTCCCACACTCCTCTGTAAGGTGACCCAGGAAACTTGGTTCCCAAGTGAACTGTGGCAGATAGAGCCTCTATTTGTCCTTGCCGTCTTTGGAAGGGCAGGGAATAATGACGCCTGGCTGGGTGGGTGAAGATTTTTAACACTCAATATCACGAGGGTGTCTCTGGGCCGGGGAACATGTGGGTGACCCTGGGTGATGGGTGGGAATGGTGAGGGGTGGTCCCTTCCCCAAGGGCCTGTCAGAAAGGTTGTAGCTGGCTGTGAATTGGACCCTACACCCCCAGAATTCACATGGTGAAGCTGGGACCCCAGGGCCTCTGAATGCCATGGAGATGGAGCCCTGAAAACGACTTCATCAGAGTGGCCCTAAGAGGAGATCAGGGTCTGGAGAGTTGGCTCAGAAAGTAAAGTGTCTGCAGCACAAACATGACCTGAAATCCACTCCAGAATCCATGGAAAAAGCCAGGCATGGTGGCATGTGCCAGTGACCCCAACGCCTCCATCCTCCAATGGTGTCTGAACATACACTCATTAAAAACAACAAATCTGAGCACAGTGGCCACGCCTTTCATCCCAGCACTAGGGAGGCAGAGGCAGGTTGATCTCTGAGTTTCAGGTCGGTCTGGTCTACAGAGTGAGTTCCAGGACAACCAGGGGCACACAGAGAGACCCTTTCTCAATATCCTGCCTCAAGAAAAATCCAGGAGGTGGAGAGTGACTGAAGAAATCACTGAGGTCACCCTCTTACACAAATGTCCCCACACTCAGGTGCACAAACATTTTTTTTATATATATAAAAATGGGAGTGTGGCTGACAGAGGCCAGACTGTGCTCAGCCATTCTATACCAGCCAACGCATTGATCAGTTCCAGGGCCGGAGCTGTGACTCCGTGGTTCCCAGCACCACACTGATCAGTTCACAACTGTAACTCCAGCCCAGGGAGCCAGCGCCCTCTTTTGGCCTCTGCAGAGACTGTACTCATATGCACAGACACATAATTAAAAATAAAATAAATACTAAAAAATACAAACAAGTCAACTGCCCCAGTAAACTCATTTCCGGCACCAACTTGAGCTGTTCTTTGGATGTTCCTGGAATGCCAGGCCGGGAAATGCTTTTCCTCTGCCTCTGAAAACATCGTATAGCATGGGTCTTTGTGCTCACCTTGCTGTCAGGCCTGCTGTAGGGGATCTGTAGCCGATCCATGGCGTCAATCATTGCCTGCATGGAGACGAAGATGTTCTGGTAGACAAGCGGCCGGAAAGCCCTGCGGTCGTCCTCGGAGTAGCCAGCGCCATGGATGATGCGCATCTGTTTGATGAAGGTGCTTTTCCCGCTCTCGCCAGGTCCTGGGGACAAACAGTGCAGTCAGAGCTAAGGGCCCAAGGTGCCCACAGAGTCCACAGTGTCCACAGGGCCAAAAGCACCCATGGTACCTGATGGGGAATGTACTTCTTTGCAAGTTTATCTTATTGATTGTTGAATAAAATATTGTTTGGCCAACGGCAAGCAAGGACTAGGAGTCAAAGAGGATTCTGGGAAATGTAGTAGAGAAGTGATGATCCAGGCAGGAAGTGTCATGGCAAGGAGACTCATATCTAAGTGAGGAAACAGGAAGTATGTCTCTTTTCCCCTCAGCTCCTGCTCCAGTGGCACCATGTGACCCACTGGAAAGGAGGGACGCCAATAAGGCATCCGATAAGATAAGTGTTATAAAATATTAAAATGTAGGATAGTTAAGACTGAGCTAACAGATGAGAATCCTAGTCATTGGACAAGCAGCATTGTACCTAATACAAGTTTCTGTGTATTTATTTAAGCTCACACGTGGCGGTGGGGCTCGGGTGGCTTTTGGCGGAAAGATTTATCGCAACAGGTACCCACATGGCATCCATCGTACCCATAGAGCCCACGCAGTGCTCATGGCGCCCCAAGCTACTCAGTGATTTAGTTACTCCTCACATTGCTGTGACAGAGAGGAAAGGCTCATGTGGTCCTTAGTCCCAGGGCAAAGCCTCCATGGTAGCAGGAGCAGAGGCAACTGCTCACAAGCCATCCTGTCACTTTCATCGGGTAACCCCTATTACACAACCCATGGCAGGTATAGCCAGAGGCTGACCTAATCTAGATTAGTCCTTACAGTTGTGAGTGGGGCTTGTCTAGATGAACCTATCAGTCAAGACAACCATCAATGTAAAACAGTCCCTGTCAGTCAAGCTGACAGTGAGTATGAAACAGAGTGGGTCCCTGTTCTAGCAAGGGTTCCTATTGCTGTGATAGACACTATGACCAAAAAGCAAGTTGGGGTCTAGCATTGGTGGCACAGCCTTTAATCCCAGTACTCCAGAGGGAGAGGCAGGAGGATCTCTGTGAGTTCAAAGTCAGCCTGGTCTCCAGAGAGAGTTTTAGGACACCCAGGGCCACGCAGAAACCCTGTCTCAAAAAAAACATCCCTCCCAAAAAAAAAAAACAGTTGGGGAGGAAAGGGTTTATTCAGCTTACACTATCACATCACAGTTCGTCATTGAAGGGAGTCAGGACAGGAACTCAAGCAGGGCAGGATCCTGGAGGAAGGAGCTGATGCAGAGGCCGTGGAGGGTGCTGCTTACTGACCTGCTCCTCATGGCTTGCTTACCTGCTTTTTTATAGAACCCAGGACCAGCAGCCCAGGGATGATGACACCACCTGCAACGGGCTGCGCCCTCCCCCATCTAGCATTGGGAAGGTGTCTTACAGTTGTATCTCATGGAGGCATTTCCTCAATTGAGGCTCCTTCCTCTCTGGTGACTCCAGCACATTTCAAGTTAATGTGAAACTACCCAGCAAGGCCCCATATGACATGAAATCACCACACCCCAGCTCATGCTCTGTAACCCTGAGCCTGTTTCCCGTATGTACAGAGACAGAACAACAGTGTACCCACCAGTGGTCACGGTTACAGAGATTCAGTGTGTAACACTGTAGGGTGGCAGTGGAGAAACTGAGGCCTGGAGCAGGATGTAGCAAGTTACCCACATTGCAGGGGCAGCAGGTGTGTGTCTGTCATGTGATTCCTCAGTTCTGATCCTTGGGTTTTGATTTTATTTCTAAAGAAAGATTGAGCCAGGAATGGAGCAGGCATTTAATCCCATTGCTAGGGAGGCACAGGCAGGTGAATCTCTGTGAGTTCAAGGTCAGCCTGGTCTACAGAGAGAGCTTGTCTCAAAAAAAGAAAGAAAAGAAAGAAAGAGAAGCAGTTGCTATCAGTGTCTGACCCCACATGCCACACAGACACACAAATACACAGACAGACAGACAGAAACACAGAAACACAGACACAGAGACCCAAGTAAAATACCCACATGACACACAGACACAGACACAGACACAGAGACCCCACATGTCACACAGACATACAGACATAGACACAGAGACCCCACATGACACACAGACACACAAACGCACAAACACAGAGACCCCATATGTCACACAAACACACAAACACAGAGACCTCACATGCCACACAGACACACAGACACAGACACGCAAACACAGAGAAACACAAACACACAAACACAGAGATACACAAACACAGAGACATACAAACACAGAGACCCAAGTAAAATATGGAAAGATACCAAAATGACACCTAGGGGGTCACATGAAAATCATGTCACACCTCCGTGTCCATAGCATTGTTTGGGCTGAGTTTCACACTGGATGGAACACTGTGACTCACTCAGGCAGGACAGAAGCTGCAACTGAGCCACACTCCTGGCTACCAATAAAATTTTATCAGAACCTGGCCCATGAGTTTGTTTTTCTGCTGAAAAGTGCAGGGGGAAGAATTGGACTTCATAAACCATCCTGCCACTACGGTGGGGGGAAGACACCCACATCACCCACTCACAGCCAGGTCCAGTGGCATTGGAATCACTCAACTAATTTTGTAATATTCTGCTTTTGCTACACCCAGGTCAAGAAGAGCGGCATTTTAGAACAATTATTTCTGTTTGGTTGGTTTTAGTTTTTGGAGGCAAGATTTCTCTGTGTAGCCCTGGCTGCCTGGAACTCAATCTGTAGACCAGGCTGACCTTGGACTCAGAGATCTGCCTGCCTCTGCCTCCCAAGTGCAGATTAAAGGCACAAGCCACCACTGTCTGGCTTTGTTTTATGTGTATGGTGTGTTGCCTGCATGTGTGTCTGCACACCATCTAAGTGCAGGGCCCATGCTGCTCCAAGAGGGCATCAGATCCCCTGGAATTGGAGTTGCAGACAGTTGTGAGCCACCAAGTGAGTGCTGGGACTTGAACCTGGTCTTTTGCAAGAGCTGTCGTTGCTAGTAACTGATGAGCTGTCTCTGTAGCACCTACAGTGTGTGTGTGTGTGTGTGTGTGTGTGTGTGTGTGTGTGTGGCATGCATACAGCCTTTCCAAGGAAGGGAAGTGGAAACCAACTGCATGAGAGTCTCCAGGATGAGGGTCAAGGGCTCAGGCAGGAGGAAGAGGGAAAGTTACAAGAACAGAAAGAGGAACGAGGGCTGGGGGCTGAGGCCCAGGCTCACCTGCT